ACTCTTTCCAAGACACAGAAGACTCCGGTGAGTTGAAGTATTCCAATGAAACATCCAAACTTTAACTAACTTCATGAACATTAGTGCCTTGCTGAAAGCTCAGGGACCATCCCGAACTATTAGGAAGTTAAGCAAGTTCTAGTCGTTTTAATCTTTTTTTTGATGGAGAGAGACAAAAGCTGATTGTTGCTGCAAACTCTTGCATTTCATATCTAGATGTCACTTTTGTGGATTAATTATGGAATTTTTTAAGGGTGGAGGATAAAGGAGAGGCATACAAATGTTGCTGTTGGCTACAGCTTCTTGAGTGGACATACATGCCAAATATTATAGACAGAATTGGACCCATACAGCTAAAAAGCAGACCTGAAACTACATGCTATTTAGTTGCAGGCCAGGAGCTTCCTACAGAACATCTGCTCCCTAGTATGTATCAGTGTTAGTAAATAAAGTAAATTAGTACACTGAAAAAACTGTATCCAAATTATGAGAAATCAAATTCCAGGAACACATATATCAACAACCTAATGAGAGGTTAAGGGCTGTAAAAGTCATATATTATTTTTTGGGTTTTTTTTTCATTAGCATTTTGGTTGTATTCCAGGAATGTGCCACTTCTGTAACAAGCTAAATGTGCTACATTAGTATAAGAAATTAAAGTGTATTATTTTGTCTCTAGAACTGGGACATTCTCTAAGCGCTTTCCTCATTGTACAAAAGATCTTCAAGTCTCAATAAATTGGACTCCTACTGTTTCTCCAATATAATCTCCCTACTTCTTACTGCTATTAGGCCTTTTAAACTCCTGAAGTTTTACATTTCACTGTTTCAAGACTTGACAAGCCTGAAAGCTGGCTTTTGAAAGTCAAACATCTGGAGTCAAATAGCCCATATTTAATTTTAATTTTTTTTTTTTCCTTAACAGGAAGCAATTTGTATTGGATAATCCCATGTTGATTACATAGTTGTAATAATGAAGATAAAGCAGAGCAATCCAGCATAGCTAACTTACCTGTCCCACACCCGCTGTCCCCAATATACTGAGAAAGTTCCAAAAAGGAAATTAATTAACAGGCTCAAAGATAGCAAGGGGATTCTGCTTTCAGAAGAACTTATAATTTCTGAAGGAAAATTAATTAATCTATTGTTTTCTTTTTACTGTTCGTCAGAGCTGATCTTCATTACATTTCTACACTTATGCGATGCAGGTGTTTTGTGTAGGTTCACCAACCTGGGTTTAAAACTGGTAGTCTACATGAGTTAACTTAGCCAAATGTGTCCCCACTATGGGATAGTCTGTGGACACATACCCCAGAGCAAAAATACCCAGTGGAAACAAGCCCTAAGTCAAACCTCCTGTTCTGGTTTTCATATAAATTAGAACATGTTGCTGATCTGTTGATGCGATGCTTTATTTTCCAGTGGTCCCAGTATAGACCTAGGAACTATTCTTCATCCAAAGATGTGAACGCTTTCTCGCAATTGTGTAGTCTGGGCAGCATGAACAATAGCTACCAGGGGACTGTTTAGAGGTGCATCCAATTAACAAATTGTACTAGTCTGTGAAGATTATTTCTTCAAAGGACAAAAAAGCTCAACCCAGTTTTTAGGCATGGTCAGTCCTGGCTGAGAAGAGTTTCAGGGTAGCATCCTTTTCATTGTGTTTCACTGTAAGCTTAGACAGTTGTATTAGTTCAGCATTGTGAGGCATCAGCTGGGCTATTTTCCATGTCAGTTGGGCTCTTTGCTGTGGACCTAATCCATCTTTAGATACAGCATACAGATACTTTCCTTTTTTTTTCAGCCTTTCCAGCTTTCTGCTAGAGGCCATTGGTCCACATGGCCTGCATTTACATCAGGACAGACAGTCCTACAGCATCATAAACCCTGTTGTGTCCCAAAGGAGAGAAAGTCTAGGTAAGCACAGCTTGTATTAATAGTTAAGTCACCAGGATAACTGGAAGCAGTTTTTGAAAACAAAGAATTACAGAACAGAATCTCTTCCAGCATTGTTAGTGAGAAGGCTGATGTTGGGTTATCTCACAAAACTTCAGCCTAACAGAAAATACATTGCTGGTTCTGACTAGCAGCTCTTCAGGAGACATCAAATATATGTAATAGTGAGTCACGCTTACTGAAAACGTTACCATAAAATATTATTATTTGATAATTCATTGACCTACATTATACATGACCTTGTCAGGGCCCTGAGTGCACCAACAGGCTCTGCAAGCTCTTTTCCCACCCTAGGTTGCCTGTGTTCAAGAGCAGTTCTGATATGGCCTAACTGTGTAACCTGGCATCAGGTGCTGTAAAGAGCAGTGTGAGAAACCTTTCTGGGGCCTCCTTATCTTCACTCAGGCCTTCAGCCTTGGTCCCTACTTGAGCTATGTTGCAGCCATGCCTGTGCCAACCTGATACCTTGCTGATCCTGGCCTTCTGACTTGATGTCCTAGCTTGGCCTCAGACCTTCCTCATCACTACAGACTTGCCTGGCTACCATCAGGGACCTACTCTGCTGTTCTTGTTGGGATCCTGTGGGATTGTACCCTGTAGGGACATTACTGCCCCTGCTTGCCCTGGGGTCCCAGCTCCCCTTCCCTTGTGGCTGGCACAGCCTGCTCCTGCTGTTCTCCAACAATTAGCTCAGACAAGGACCAAGGCTGAGGGCCTGAGCTTAAATGCAGCACCCAAACAAAGGGGTGTAAGCCCCTAATGAGGCTTTTCACAGCTCTATGTCACACCTTAGCTATTTCCCAGCAGCCTGATTTCAGGTTTCAGCTGTGCTATCACAGAGCTATCCTTGAATGCAGGCACCCAAATGCCCAGGGGTAGGGGAAGAGGTTGTTGGTGCCTGTTGGTGCACTCATGGCCATGGCAGGCCTGCAGGACACAGAGTTGTGAATGATGTGATAATAAGGATACTTGAGCTTTTTAGTTTTAATTCTATTTGGTTTTAATGTATGAAGTATGCATGATAAATTCCAACAAAGGGACACTTGGCCTAGAACCTCAGGAGATAAAATATACTATCAGTTCTCTTTACAAATAATGAATATTCTCCTTGATTGATTTCAAATAATGCAATTAGCATTTATCCTTTTCTGATACAGAACCCGCTCACATGGTTTTTTTAGCAAAAAGTATTGGGGGAATGCATAATGTTCTTAAACTGAAGAATAATAATAGCAGGATGTCTAGAATAGCCCCTGTTCCTGTCCCATCAATCCTCCATTGTCTACTTTATGAGCTTCTCTTGCATGAGAGAAATGTTTATTATAGTTAAAAAAAAGTCTAGTCTGAAGTAATTGGCAGTAAGGAGAGAACCAAGATCCTTGAGCTGATTGATTGTAAGTCCATACTTGTGTCCCTTCTTTTCCTATGTCTCTACAGCAATAAACAGGCTCTTCTTACCATTCCAAAGCCACGATACTTGGAGCAACTGGAGTCTTACTTAAGGAAAGAGTTGCAATCTCTTGACCTGACTAAAAAGAATTCCCAGGAACTAAAGTTACAGGTCTGATTAAAAGTTCTGTTGACTTGAACCTACATGCTGGGATGGATTTCTTATTTTAATTGATCATTCAAAATAGATGAGGTAAGGCAGTAGATAGGTGGTAGATAGGTGGTAAGGCAGTATTGGGTAAGAAATGGTTTTGCACATGGCTTTAGAGAACTTGCACAGAAAGTTATTTATGTGTTAGATTGTTTTTTCTTCACATCTTCTATAGCCGCTTCCATTTTCAAATCATCAAAGCCAAAGTTTTCAAAAAGATATAGTAACCTAAAGTGGCCTTGAAACAGAATTCATTCACTAAACTCTTGAGGATGACTACCTAAATCCATAAAGCAGCAAATGTTTAGGTTCCCAGTTTTTCATTGCAAAATCTCCCTTGTTTCTGAAGTTAGGTTTCTGCATGAGTCAAGGAGGGGCTTTCTAATCTAGCTCTTGCCTAAGTCTAGTCAGGATCCTCAGCAGTTTTTCCAAGGTCTGAGCCTGGGGGCTCTGAGCATTTGAGAACGCATGCACTGGAGAGTGAAACCCACCACTTTAACTCAAAATGTAATAGGAGTGGGTGCTCCTCATTTCATGATATTGTGCAATTAGAGCATTTACCTAGGGTGTGGAAGCTTGGATTCAATTTCCTCTGAATGAGTTAATTCAAAACTCTCATTCCCAGAGGAATCCTGTAGTGATGAGGAGGGAAAATGGTGGATTGAAGAGAATGGAGAGAAATGAGGAGAGTGACTAATGGCAAGAGAAAACAGAGGTTTCATAGATGTTTTTATGCTTTAAAATATTTTTGACTTACATAACCTGTTTAATTGTATTTAATAGTTAGGTACAGTCAGTTACTGAGAACACTGCTATTGCTAATGAAGTCTTTGCGTGGCCCAGATACAATGTGGCAGTTTGGCTGTCCTCTCTGAACAAGTTTTACCCTGCTGAGAAGGATAGAATAAAGGAATCACAAAAGAGTTGAAGGTGGAAGAGACCTTTAGAGATCATCTAGTCCAGCCCCTCTGTTCAAGCAGAGTCACC